TACTAGTTCTAGTTCTGTTCTAGTTCTGTTCTAGTTCTGTTCGAGTTCTGTTCTAGTTCTGTTCTAGTTCTGTTCTAGTTCTGTTCTAGTTCTGTTCTAGTTCTGTTCTAGTTCTGTTCTAGTTCTGTTCTAGTTCTGTTCTAGTTCTGTTCTAGTCCTGTTCTAGTTCTGTTCTAGTTCTGTTCTAGTTTTGTTCTAGTTCTGTTCTAGTTCTGTTCTAGTTCTGTTCTAGTTCTATACGAGTTCTAGTTCTGTTCTAGTTCTGTTCTAGTTCTGTTCTAGTTCTGTTCTAGTTCTGTTCTAGTTCTGTTCTAGTTCTGTTCTAGTTCTGTTCTAGTTCTGTTCTAGTTCTGTTCTAGTTCTGTTCTAGTTCTGTTTCTAGTTCTGTTCTAGTACTGTTCTAGTTCTGTTCTAGTTCTGTTCTAGTTCTGTTCTAGTTCTGTTCGAGTTCTGTTCTAGTTCTGTACTAGTTCTGTTCTAGTTCTGTTTTAGTTCTGCTCTAGTTCTGATCTAGTTCTGTTCTAGTTCTGTTCTAGTTCTGTTCTAGTTCTGTTCTAGTTCTGTTCTAGTTCTGTTCTAGTTCTGTTCTAGTTCTGCTCTAGTTCTGTTCTAGTTCTGTTCTAGTTCTGTTCTAGTTCTGCTCTAGTTCTGTTCTAGTTCTGTTCTTGTTCTGTTCTAGTTCTGTTCTAGTTCTGTTCTAGTTCTGTTCTAGTTCTGTTCTAGTTCTGTTCTAGTTCTGCTCTAGTTCTGTTCTAGTTCTGTTCTAGTTCTGTTGTAGTTCAGTTCAGTTTCAGTTATGCTCTAGTTCTTTTCTAGTTATGTTCTAGTTCTGATCTAGTTCAGTTCTAGTTCTGTTCTACACCATTTCAAGTTTAATTTGAGAAAATCCAAAGTTATATTGTGAAACACCAAAATGAATTTTAGAAATCCAATTTAATATTGAGACATACCAAATTAAATTTAGGAATCAAAATTGATATGAAGAAAAAACAAATTGAAATTTGAATTTTCAACTTAATATTGAGAAAAAACCAATTGATATTGAGAAGTCGAAATTAATATTGAGATAATACGAATTGAAATTGGCAAAATACAAAATGATATTAAAAAAACCTAATTTTGTATTGAAATTTATAATATTTTAAATCCATATCCTATTTAAACATTTTATAAGAAAAATATTTTCATACAAATTTTAAATTTCTCCTTTTCATTTATTAATTTCTCAATTTCAATTTGTAATTTCTTAATATAATGTTGGGATTCCGAATTTCAATTTGTTTTTTCTCGATATGAATTTGCATTTCTTAATTTAATTTTATTATTTCTCAATATTAGTTTGGATTTCTCAATTTCAAATGGGGTTTTCTCAATATTAATTTAAATTTCTCAACTTTAATTTGAATTTTCTAAATTTTAAATTGAAATTCTCAATATGAGTTTGTATTTTCTCAATTTAAACTTGAAATGGTGTAGTTCTGCTCTAGTTCTATTCTAGTTCTGTTCTAGTTCTGTTCTAGTTCTGTTCTAGTTCTGTTCTAGTTCTGCTCTAGTTCTGTTCTAGTTCTGTTCTAGTTCTGTTCTAGTTCTGTTCTAGTTCTAGTTCTGTTCTAGTTCTGTTCTAGTTCTGTTCTAGTTCTGTTCTAGTTCTGCTCTAGTTCTGTTCTAGTTCTGTTGTAGTTCAGTTCCAGTTATGCTCTAGTTCTTTTCTAGTTATGTTCTAGTTCTGATCTAGTTCAGTTCTAGTTCTGTTCTAGTTCTGTTCTAGTTCTGTTCTAGTTCTGTTCTAGTTCTGTTCTAGTTCTGTTGTAGTTCAGTTCAGTTCCAGTTATGCTCTAGTTCTTTTCTAGTTATGTTCTAGTTCTGATCTAGTTCAGTTCTAGTTCTGTTCTAGTTCTGTTCTAGTTCTATTCTAGTTCTGTTCTAGTTCTGTTCTAGTTCTGTTCTAGTTCTGTTCTAGTTCTGTTCTAGTTCTGTTCTAGTTCTGTTCTAGTTCTGTTGTAGTTCAGTTCAGTTCCAGTTCTGTTCTAGTTCTGTTCTAGTTCTGTTCTAGTTCTGTTCTATTTCTGTTCTAGTTCTGTTCTAGTTCTAGTTCTGTTCTAGTTCTAGTTCTGTTCTAGTTCTGTTCTAGTTCTGTTCTAGTTCTGTTCTAGTTCTGTTCTAGTTCTGTTCTAGTTCTGTTCTAGTTCTGTTCTAGTTCTGTTCTAGTTCTGTTCTAGTTCTGTTCTAGTTCTGTTCTAGTTCTGTTCTAGTTCTGTTCGAGTTCTTTTCTAGTTATGTTCTAGTTCTGATCTAGTTCAGTTCTAGTTCTGTTCTAGTTCTGTTCTAGTTCTATTCTAGTTCTGTTCTAGTTCTGTTCTAGTTCTGTTCTAGTTCTGTTCTAGTTCTGTTCTAGTTCTGCTCTAGTTCTGTTCTAGTTCTGTTCTAGTTCTGTTGTAGTTCAGTTCAGTTTCAGTTATGCTCTAGTTCTTTTCTAGTTATGTTCTAGTTCTGATCTAGTTCAGTTCTAGTTCTGTTCTACACCATTTCAAGTTTAATTTGAGAAAATCCAAAGTTATATTGTGAAACACCAAAATGAATTTTAGAAATCCAATTTAATATTGAGACATACCAAATTAAATTTAGGAATCAAAATTGATATGAAGAAAAAACAAATTGAAATTTGAATTTTCAACTTAATATTGAGAAAAAACCAATTGATATTGAGAAGTCGAAATTAATATTGAGATAATACGAATTGAAATTGGCAAAATACAAAATGATATTAAAAAAACCTAATTTTGTATTGAAATTTATAATATTTTAAATCCATATCCTATTTAAACATTTTATAAGAAAAATATTTTCATACAAATTTTAAATTTCTCCTTTTCATTTATTAATTTCTCAATTTCAATTTGTAATTTCTTAATATAATGTTGGGATTCCGAATTTCAATTTGTTTTTTCTCGATATGAATTTGCATTTCTTAATTTAATTTTATTATTTCTCAATATTAGTTTGGATTTCTCAATTTCAAATGGGGTTTTCTCAATATTAATTTAAATTTCTCAACTTTAATTTGAATTTTCTAAATTTTAAATTGAAATTCTCAATATGAGTTTGTATTTTCTCAATTTAAACTTGAAATGGTGTAGTTCTGCTCTAGTTCTATTCTAGTTCTGTTCTAGTTCTGTTCTAGTTCTGTTCTAGTTCTGTTCTAGTTCTGTTCTAGTTCTGTTCTAGTTCTGCTCTAGTTCTGTTCTAGTTCTGTTCTAGTTCTGTTCTAGTTCTGTTCTAGTTCTGTTCTAGTTCTGTTCTAGTTCTGTTCTAGTTCTGCTCTAGTTCTGTTCTAGTTCTGTTGTAGTTCAGTTCCAGTTATGCTCTAGTTCTTTTTTAGTTATGTTCTAGTTCTGATCTAGTTCAGTTCTAGTTCTGTTCTAGTTCTGTTCTAGTTCTGTTCTAGTTCTGTTCTAGTTCTGTTCTAGTTCTGTTCTAGTTCTGTTGTAGTTCAGTTCCAGTTATGCTCTAGTTCTTTTCTAGTTATGTTCTAGTTCTGATCTAGTTCAGTTCTAGTTCTGTTCTAGTTCTGTTCTAGTTCTATTCTAGTTCTGTTCTAGTTCTGTTCTAGTTCTGTTCTAGTTCTGTTCTAGTTCTGTTCTAGTTCTGTTCTAGTTCTGTTGTAGTTCAGTTCAGTTCCAGTTCTGTTCTAGTTCTGTTCTAGTTCTGTTCTAGTTCTGTTCTAGTTCTGTTCTAGTTCTGTTCTAGTTCTGTTCTAGTTCTGTTCTAGTTCTGTTCTAGTTCTGTTCTAGTTCTGTTCTAGTTCTGTTCTAGTTCTGTTCTAGTTCTGTTCTAGTTCTGTTCTAGTTCTGTTCTAGTTCTGTTCTAGTTCTGTTCTAGTTCTGTTCTAGTTCTGTTCGAGTTCTGTTCTAGTTCTGTTCTAGTTCTGTTCTAGTTCTGTTCTAGTTCTGTTCTAGTTCTGTTCTAGTTCTGTTCTAGTTCTGTTCTAGTTCTGTTCTAGTTCTGTTCTAGTTCTGTTCTAGTTCTGTTCTAGTTCTGTTCTAGTTCTGTTCTAGTTCTGTTCTAGTTCTGTTCTAGTTCTGTTCTAGTTCTGCTCTAGTTCTGCTCTAGTTCTAGTTCTGTTCTAGTTCTGTTCTAGTTCTGTTCTAGTTCTGTTCTAGTTCTGCTCTAGTTCTGTTCTAGTTCTAGTTCTGTTCTAGTTCTGTTCTAGTTCTGTTCTAGTTCTGCTCTAGTTCTGTTCTAGTTCTGTTCTTGTTCTGTTCTAGTTCTGTTCTAGTTCTGTTCTAGTTCTGTTCTAGTTCTGTTCTAGTTCTGTTCTAGTTCTGTTCTAGTTCTGTTGTAGTTCAGTTCAGTTCCAGTTATGCTCTAGTTCTTTTCTAGTTATGTTCTAGTTCTGATCTAGTTCAGTTCTAGTTCTGTTCTAGTTCTGTTCTAGTTCTGTTCTAGTTCTATTCTAGTTCTGTTCTAGTTCACTGCTAGTTCAGTTCTAGTTCATTTCAAGTTTAGTGCTTATTCAGTCCAGTTTGAGGACTATCTGTTTAAGTGAATTTTCATTGAAAAGCTCCTTCTCAAGACTTACAATTTTCGCTACAATAGAGGACCTTTTACTGCAGGAAGTGCGATTTATTGTAGAACCATTATCGACCGATATGTGTGCTGCACTCTGTTATAAGAATGAAACGTTTGTAGATTTGAAACCGATATCTGGCAGCTAATATTTATAATTTTAAAAGTTTTCTAATAGTCAACTACTTTTAGCAACAACTGCGGAAATTCTAAGTTATATTACATCTAAAATATAAAATTCTTCAAATACACGCTAATACCCCTTAATATTTCAATGCACATCAACAATTTGTCTATTTGGCAGAAATACTTTAATCCTCCTTGGTATGCCATAAGCTGTTAAATAAATTTCAAAGAATGTGACAGAGAAAAACATCTTGTAAGAAAATGCTATAAAAACCCCCATAAGAAACCGCAAAAACTGTTAGTAGGTCTTAAGGAGGACTTAAGTTAAGTGCTGAAAGTGAAGACAATAAATAAAAAACATGAGGAAAAAATAGCTGAAAATTAAACTAGTTTTGAAACAGCTTTTAAAAATGCATATTTTTAAAAGATCTCCAATAATGGGACCAGAGCCCTATACCAACTATTTAAATGGGTAAAAAAAAAAGAGGAAATTGGTTTATTAAACATATATTTAAATAATTTTTATTTTTTGAAGCTCTGCACACTCTTTAACCTCCCCTATGGCCCAGCCGAATCTGGGCTGGAATTATCCCATGGAATATCAACATTTAGTGCATCAACATTGGCGCTCCTTTCCGGTACCCGAAATTTATTATCAGGCTTTTTTATTTATTGCCTTTATAGCCATGTTATTTTGCTCACTTTTTGGCAATGGTTTAGTTTTATGGTTATTTTCAACGTAAGTTTGAGAATTTCAATGTAATATTTAATTGAATTAGTTCAATTTTTGGGATTTTCTTTTAGATCGAGGAATTTAAAGACCCCCTCGAATATGCTGATTATAAATTTGGCTGTTTTCGATTTGACCATGGCTACAAATATGCCTCACTATTTGATCAATGCGTCGTTGGGTTATTTTCATGGTGGCGATTTGGCCTGTGATATTTATGCGGTCTTTGGCAGTATTTCGGGTATTGGGGCGGCGATAACTAATGCATTTATAGCCTATGATAGATATAGGTAAGGGGAATTGGTTACCATGGAATATTAATTTTTTACTTTTTTTTCTTTTCTGTATCTAGAACTATTTCCAATCCCATTGATGGCCGCTTAAATTATCCTCAAATCACTGTTTTGATTATACTGACTTGGTTGTGGACCATACCATTTTCGGCCTTACCTTTCTTTCATATTTGGGGACATTTTATACCAGGTAAATATATTTAGTTTTAGTTTTTTCTTGTGTTCTATTTAAAAGTGTCTTCTGTAGACAGTTTTCTTTTTGCAAGAGTGTCTTCACTGGACAGTTTTCATTGGAAAAGTGTCTTCCCTAAACAGTATTCTTTGGGAAGGTTCCTTCACTTGTCTCCTCAAAACCGTTTCCATAAGAAAAGTTTTTTCTCAATGCAGTTTTTTATGGGAGTGTCTTCTCAAGACAGTTTTCTTCAGAAAAGAGTCTCCTCAAAACAGTTTTTTACAGGAGTGCCTTTTTAGGACAGTTTTTTTAAGAAAAGTGTATTCTGAAGATAGATTTTTTCGGAAGCACGGGCTCTCATGGCAAGTTTTTATAGGAGTGTCTTGTCAGGACAGTTTTCTTCAGAAAAATATATTCTCAAGTCAGTTTTTTATAGAAGTGTCCTCTCAGGACAGTATTCTTCTGAAAAATGTCTTTTCACAGCAGTTTTGTCTTCTCAGAACAGTTTTCTTTGAGAAAAGTGTCTCCTCACTTTTCTCAGTTTTTTTTAGAAAAGTGCCTCCTTAAAACAGATTTCTTCAGAAAAGTTTCTTCTGAAGGCAGTTTTTTTTTATAGAAATGTCTTCCTAAGACAATTTTCTTCAGAAAAGTGTCTTTACAAAACTGTTGTATCTCCTCAAAGTATATTTCTTCTGAAAAATGTCTTCTTAGAGCAGTTTTTTTATAGAAGTACACTTCCAGAACACTTTGCTTCGGAGAAGTGTCTTCTCAAGACAGTTTTCTTCACAAAAGTATCTTCTCAAGAGAGTTTCTAGGAAAAACCACTTCTTGAACAATTTCCTCTAGGCGATCGCCTCCTGTAGACAGTTTTCTTTGCACAATTATGTTCCAAAGGCATTTTTATTTCGAGAAGTGTTTAATCGAAGTTTATTATCCTCTTTAAAAAGTATTCCTAAGATCGTAAAAGTTTTCCTTTCATTTTAGAGGGCTTTCTCACCAGCTGTTCCTTTGACTATCTCTCCGAAGACGATGAGACCCGCTATTTTGTACGCTGCATGTTCGTTTGGGCCTATTGCATACCCATGGTTATTATCTGTGTCTATTATACGAAATTATTTTTTCATGTTCGCGATCATGAGAAAATGTTAGCCGATCAGGCCAAGAAAATGAATCTCAAATCGTTGTCGGCAAATCAAAATACGGCTGCAATGAGTGTAGAACTGCGTATAGCTAAAGCCGCCATGACTATATATTTATTGTATGTTTTCTCGTGGACTCCCTATGCTACTGTTTCGCTATTGGGTACTTATGGTTATCGCCATTTAATAACGCCGTTTGCCTCTATGATACCTTGTTGTTGTGCGAAATTGGTTTCGTGCATAGACCCATGGGTTTATGCTGCCAGTCATCCGAAATATAGAGCAGAATTGGAGAAACGTTTACCTTGGTTGGGTATAACAGAAAGAAATTCTGCGCCTTCGTCGAGTGGCGGTGGTGATAATTTAGATTGTGAAACGAGTACAGTATCGGCTATGAATTAAACAAATAGGTGTAATAGAGTTCTCATTAGAAAATTGCCTTCTGAAGGCAGTTTTCTAATAGAGGATTTTCCTCAGAAAAGTGTCTTCGTTGAACAGATTCCGACTCTTCAAGATCGTTTTCATTAGTGTGTCTAAAGAAAAATTGTCTTCTGATGAAAAGTTTCTTCTGAAGGCCGTTTTTCACTAGAAAAGTGTCTTCTAAAGACGATATTCTTCAGAAAACTGTCTAAGACGTTTCAATACACTTGTCTTTGGTGTGTCTTCTGAAGACAGTTTTCTTTAGAAAAATATATCTAGAATTAGAATAAAATGTGTTATTTATAATAGTGATAAAAAAGATTTCCTAGGTAATCTAGATTTAAATACACATTTTTAATAGTTTATTGAAAAAAAAACAAAGCAATGAATTGTATGCAATTCCAAAAACTAAAAAAAAAAAATTAAAAATAAAGCAATAAGCCAAAGAAAGGCTTCAAAAATATAAAAAAACAACAAAATTGTAAATAAATAAATGTTGCAAGTATAAAAATGTGTTTATCAATTTTGCTAGACACTGTGCAAAACTTGAAAAATGAACTGATTAGGACTCAACCAGAACTGAACTAGAACTGAACTAGAACTGAACTAGAACTGAACTAGAACTGAACTAGAACTGAACTAGAACTGAACTAGAACTGAACTAGAACTGAACTAGAACTGAACTAGACTGAACTATGAACTAGATGAACTAGAACTGAACTAGAACTGAACTAGAACTGAACTAGAACAGAACTAGAACTGAACTAGAACTGAACTAGAACTAGAACTGAACTAGAACTGAACTAGAACTGAACTAGAACTGAACTAGAACTGAACTAGAACTGAACTAGAACTGAACTAGAACCTGACTAGAACTGAACTAGAACTGAACTTAGAACTGAACTAGAACTGAACTAGAACTGAACTAGAACTGAACTAGAACTAGAACTGACAGAACTGAACTAGAACTAGAACTAGAACTAGAAACTGAACTGAATGACTAGAACTGAGACTAGAACTGAACTAGAACTGAACTAGAACTGAACTAGAACTGAACTAGAACTGAACTAGACTGAACTAGAACTGAACTAGAAATGAAACTAGAACTGAACTAGAACTGAACTAGAACTGAACTAGACTGAACTAGAACTGAACTAGAACTGAACTAGAACTGAACTAGAACTGAACTAGAACTGAACTAGAACTGAACTAGAACTGAACTAGAACTGAACTAGCAACTGAACTAGAACTGAACTAGAACTGAACTAGAACTGAACTAGAACTGAACTAGAACTGAACTAGAACTGAACTAGAACTGAACTAGAACTGAACTAGAACTGAACTAGAACTGAACTAGAACTGAACTAGAACTGAACTAGAACTGAACTAGAACTGAACTAGAACTGAACTAGAACTGAACTAGAACTGAACTAGAACTGAACTAGAACTGAACTAGAACTGAACTAGAACTGAACTAGAACTGAACTAGAACTGAACTAGAACTGAACTAGAACTGAACTAGAACTGAACTAGAACTGAACTAGAACTGAACTAGAACTGAACTAGAACTGAACTAGAACTGAACTAGAACTGAACTAGAACTGAACTAGAACTGAACTAGAACTGAACTAGAACTGAACTAGAACTGAACTAGAACTGAACTAGAACTGAACTAGAACTGAACTAGAACTGAACTAGAACTGAACTAGAACTGAACTAGAACTGAACTAGAACTGAACTAGAACTGACTAGAACTGAACTAGAACTGAACTAGAACTGAACTAGAACTGAACTAGAACTGAACTAGAACTGAACTAGAACTGAACTAGAACTGAACTAGAACTAAACTAGAACTAACTAGAACTAAACTAGAACTAAACTAACTGAACTAGAACTGAACTAGAACTGAACTAGAACTGAACTAGAACTGAACTAGAACTGAACTAGAACTGAACTAGAACTGACTAACTAGAACTAGAAACTAGAACAGAACTAGAACAGAACTAGAACATGAACTAGAACTGAACTAGAACTGAACTAGAACTGAACTAGAACTGAACTAGAACTGAACTAGAACTGAACTAGAACTGAACTAGAACTGAACTAGAACTGAACTAGAACTGAACTAGAACTGAACTAGAACTAGAACTGAACTAGAACTGAACTAGAACTGAACTAGAACTGAACTAGAACTGAACTAGAACTGAACTAGAACTGAACTAGAACTGAACTAGAACTGAACTAGAACTGAACTGGAACTGAACTAGAACTGAACTAGAACTGAACTAGAACTGAACACTGAACGGTGTTTTTACTCTACAGGTTTTTGTCTTGACTAACTTGACTAAGGTGTTGCCATATGTGTAATTATTTATGTTTACTTATATGTATGTCAAAGTGTCTTTGAAAAAAAGCATCTGAAACTTGGCCGCACTGTCACGTCTTAACTATATGCGATAACAGTGATGCCATATTTACTATACTGTGTACTGTGTAGACTTATAATGAGTAAAAGATGTAGTAGATGTACACACCTTTGGAGCTATAAAACGGATAATTAGTAAATTCTAACACCTTAGTAAATAATTGCATTATGACTACAGGGTGCATCAGATTATTTTAGGATTTAAAACCAAATTAGTGGAATTTTAATTAAAATACAATTTTATGGAAAATTTTTTATTAAAAACTTCTATTTACAGAAGATTTTATGGATGTTTTTTTTTTATAAAAAAAATATGGAAAATTATCTATAAAAACAAAATTTTATCAAATATATCCTATAAAAAGAAAATGTTATCAAAAATTTTATGGAAAATTTTTTATGAAAAGAAAATTTTATCGAAAATTTCTTCGAAAATTTTTAATAAAAAGAAAATTTCTTCGAAAATTTTTAATAAAAAGAAAATATCTTCGAAAATTTTTATAAAAAGTAAATTTCTTCGTAAATTTTCTATAAAAAATTTTATCAAGAATTTTCTATAAAAAAATTTCTTCGAAAATTTTCTGTAAAAAAATCATCGAAAATATTTTATTAAAAGAAAATTTCATTGAAAATTTTCTAAAAAAGTACATTTTATCGAAATTTTTCTACAAAAAAGAGCTTTTTATCGAAATTTTTTTTATAACAAGAAACTTTTACTGAAATTTTTCAAAAAATTTAAATTTTATATAAATGGAATATTTATCAAATATTTTCTGTAATTATAAAACGTATGGAAAGTTTTTAATTAAATTTATAATTTTAGATAAATTGTTTACATGTTTTCACGTTATTGTTGCATTCGGTACTAGGGTTCTATAGTTGAAACGAAAAGTCGACTTTTCGACTTTTTTCATTTAGTTAAAAGTCGACTTTTCGACTTTTTGCATTTTATGAAAATTCGATTTTTTGACTTTTTTAATTTAATTAAAAGTCTACTTTTAGTCTTTTCGACTATAAGTATTTTATAAATAGTCGACTTTTCGACTTTTTCCGACTTTTTTCGACTTTTTGACTTTTTTCGACTTTTCGACTTTTTCCGACTTTTTGACTATTTTTGACTTTCGAAATTTTTTCGACTATTTTTTGACTATTTTAGAGTTTTTGACTTTTTTAAAATTTCCGACTATTTTTGACTTTTTTCTACAATTTTCGACTTTTTCCGACTTTTTTCGACTTTTTCCGACTTTTTTCGACTTTTTACGACTTTTCGACTTTCTTCTACTTTTTTCGACTTTATTCGACTTTTCAACTTTTTTCGACTTATCGACTTTTTTCGACTTTCCGACTTTTATTAACAATGTCGACTTTTCGACTTTTTTCACAGACGATAGTCGAGTTAACGACTTTTTTGAAACAAAATAGTCGACTTCGACTTTTTTCGACAAAAAGTCGATTGTTGGATTATTCGAAAGTCGATTTATAGAAGCCTAATCGGTACTCGTTTACTTTACGGCAGCATTGTTAATACAAAAAAGTTTTATCTGGCAACCTCATTTATGCAATGTTTAGAAAAATAAAAACAAAACACAGCTGTGAATTCTGACAACTACACGTGAAGGTTTCATTTGCTTTCCCATTCGCTCTATTGCAATTTGCAAAAACACAAAACAAATTGGATAACACGGTGAAAATTTGTGGCATAATTTTAAATTACTAAAAATTATCAATTAAAATTAAAGAAAAATGTTCAAATTATTCAGTCAACAAATGCGTTCAGTAACGCAGAACTTGATACGCCGTCAAATGCAGACAACACCTGCAGTTTTAAGCACCAAACAGACACCGGATCAATTAATCGATGTTACCAAGGCCTTGGAAGGTTGGGACGATAAATTGAAAGAGGCAGGTGTTGGTGATATAGAATTTAATTTGAAATGTTTGGTGGCTCATGTGTTGAAAAGAAAATTTGTAAGTTTGATAAGTTAGATAATTGGAAAAATATATAAATTTCTTAATATTTAATATTAAACAGAATACTTTGCCCAACTACAATAATGTGCAATTCAATGGCGAGCAATTGAAAGAATTTGAGAGATTATGTGAAGCCCGTTGTGCCCGTATGCCTTTGCAGCATATTCTAGGTGAATGGGATTTTATGGATATTACTTTGAAGACAGCACCCACTGTGTTTATACCCCGTCCTGAAACTGAGGAGTTTGTGGCCAAAGTTATAGATGTTTACCGCAAGGTTCAAGAGCCCATTGATATGCTAGAGGTAGGCTGTGGTTCTGGCGCCATGTCTTTGGCCATTCTCCATGCTTTACCCAATATAAAGAGTACTGGAGTGGAACGCAGCAAAGCTGCCACCGCCTTAGCTTGGGAAAATGCTAAATATTTAAATTTACATGAACGTTTTAAGATTTTCAATCATACTACAGCGGAAAATGATTATTTGCCCAAGGAATTGGAGGGTCGCAAATTTGATCTTATCATTTCCAATCCTCCTTATGTCAAGACCGAAGAGTTTGCTTTACTGCAGCCAGAAGTTAAATTGTAAGGGAATTTAAAGGAACTTTGTATTAAAAATGTAAATTGTTTATTATTTTTATAGATATGAAAACCTTAATGCCTTGGATGGTGGTCCAGATGGTCTACGCATTGCCCGTTTGGTCTTTGACTGTGCTTGTGTACACTTGAAACCTGGTGGCAAACTATGGTTGGAATTGGGCAGTGAACATCCTCCTTTAGTTAAGACCATTATGAATCTACAATATGAAGGTCGTTTGCGCTTTATTTCCAGCTTTATGGATCAATATAAACGTGAACGTTTTGTCGAAATTGAAAAAGTTTAAAAGGTCGCCATCATATTGATGCTTAAATTTATGGCTATTTTTAGATTAATGTGTGATACTTAAGTGATCTTAAAATGTTGTAATGTTTAGTAGAAATGTTAGTTGACTTGTTTTAATTTTAAAGTATTTTATTCTTTAGCATTTAAGACGCTTTAAAAGAGAACGAGAGATTAGAAAAAATAAACTGGATACTGACCAGACGATTTTCAAAGAAAAATCGT